ACTTTCTCTAACTTTTGTCATACAATATCAGAAAAGTTCAACCTAACAAATGAAAGTTGATCAAATAGGATAAGAGGAAATACTGAAGAAAGGAGGTAAAGCTTCTCCAAAGACAATTATCAACTCCTCCTTGATTCATAGTGTCCTTTGATTTTTCAGAGAACTCTTCCGTCCTTACACATAATGTTCTACATATTAAAACACAACTTAGAAATGTTACTTGGTTACACAAAAATATTGACACTTGACAAAGTTCTTAAAGTTGATTGCTACTCCAAAAGTTGTCAAATTAGAACCTGAAAAGTTTTTAATAGAAGTTTTTGTAATGACAACACATCTCCAAATTGTCTGTCAAGTAATATCCATATAAAATATACATTTCACACACTTAAATTATTGAAAACAAGTTAAGGAATTTTTTACAGTTCTTTGAGATAGAATTTTTTCATCTGCCTTAAATTCTGATTAAGTAATTTTCAAAATTTTTGAAGCTATGGGCAGATGAAAACTTTTGTCAGTCTTCAGAAGCAACTGGAAAAGCAAAGCAGAAGCAGTTTTATGTGCAAACAAATAATTTACCTTTCAAAACCTTATTAATAGACACAATTTAAGATAGAAAATTCACACTGATGGATGTGTAGGGGTAGACAGGGATACTTAAACATATCAAGCCTGATTCCACTCTTATTTATTCCACTGGCTTCAATGTACTGACTTCCAGCAGTGACATAAAGAGGTAAACTGGATATTAAATGACATTCAGAACAAGATATATTACTATAATTACTTCAGTAAATTTACTTCTCTATGTGAAACGGTAATTGTAATGACTGCATTAAGTTGGAAAAGCAATATTGAAGCTTCCCAAACAAACCAAATTTTTAATTGCACCTGAAAATACCGACTGCAGAAAATTCTGTGTATTTTTCAACAAGAAGAAGAGACCAGCTTTGGATGTTTCAAAATAACTTCTATGCTCAGCAATGTATAAAAGAAAGAGAAAGTGTAAGAAAATATTAAGTGTATAACATTCTCACTTTTTGAGGAATATTTACTTTGTACTTCATAGCAAAGTGGAAGAAGATTCAAATTTACAATAAAAACTTTAGTTAAAATGATCTTTGAACCATACGCTTACAAGTTTTCTTAGTCTAAAATTAAGGCTTCCCACAAAGCCAATATGGTTAGTTATTACAGATTTTCAAATGCGGTTTCTTATCATTTGAGGGGTTGAGAAGTGGGGTGGGGTGCACAAAAAAAACCCCAAATCTTTGGAAGTGTTTCAAAACGGAATGCTTTACTTCAAATATATCAAACTAAGGTCATCATAGCACAAAGGAATTCAGGTCCACTTTTAGAAAATTATAATAAAATTCATAATCTGAAAGATATTAACATGAAGTCAATATTAATTCATTCAATTGAATTAATTAATAATTGAATATTAATTCAGTCAATCAATATTGACTTGTCAATATTTTTGTGAGCTATGTACCTTTCAACAGGAACATCAGCCACATTACACTTTGTCTATTAGGATAAGTCATCAAAATTGGTTTAGTATTTGATCTGAGTTTTCTTAAGAGATGGTGACAAAGTAAAGCAGGAGAAGTGAATTCTGGTACTTATTTATCTTTTTTTTCATTAAAAGATGAACAAATAATCTACTCAGTTGCTTAAATATCAGTGTTTACTAGAATTTCAGATATTTCACATAACCAAAATAATGGGCTACAAGGTACAACACAAGACTTGTGTGAAGCCTTGGATTTGTACCTATAGCTAGGAAATACATCCCACAATTTAAGAAGCTGGATCACACTTTGAGAGTGTGCTGAACCATTTCAACCAAAATAAGACGGTTTGCAAATATGAACTAGCTTTGTATGCTCTTTCTTCTATTTCTTGAACATTCTTTACAATAGTCAGATATGATTCTCAGGGGAAACCACCTTTTCACTCTTGCTCACTCAAACCTGTGAAACTATGTGTGTGAAAACAGAGATATGCTAGGTGTCATTAGATCTATTTAAGTCTTAACAGAGTTAGTACATAATCAAATATGTTCTCTAGCTAATAGTCTGTGTAAATCAGGGAATAGCATGTTCTGATCTTAGAAATACCCTTCTTTTTTCCTGAGAACATACAGTCTATCATTATCAAGCTTCTAGACTTCTCTGCTTCGAAGTACTTTTTACACTGGTTACCTGTTAGAGTTCAAAGAACAGATAATGTGAAACAGTCATGAATTATTTTTTTCCCCAAAAAAGACCCTAGAGATACTATTTATATCCACTACATAGAATTATGTGTTATCAGAAGCACACTCCCAAATCTAAAACAAGTAAAAAGGAAGAAGAATAAGATAAATAAGAAGGTGTCTTTTTTGTGCCAAGTTCTGTGTAATACCTTTACCTTCTAGAGGCTCACTCTGGGAGGAGAACAAACCCCAAACTCAAACAGCTGTTAAATAAGCACAAGAGAAAACCAGAAGTGCTGTATAAAAAGGTCAGAATTGTTCTTTTGGTTTTGTGATTTGACTAGCACACAGCAGAAAAGGAAGGAGTGGAACCTAAGATGTCAAGTAAGGAATACAGTCAACACTTAAGCTTACTTCAGCAAAATGGAGCATTGGAGATAAGTAGTGTTGGTTAAGGACTGCTGAAGAATGTAAAGAAAAGGGGTAGATTTGTGATACTGCTGTAAATTCCTGTGGAAAAATATTGTTTATTTCTTTTTTTAGGAAACTGTTATTATAGGAAAGAAGAAAGAATAGTAAACTAAATGGGGACCAGGAATACCAGTGGAACCAGGACAGGCAGAAGACTATAGAGTAGAAATATAACACCATAACAAAGAATTTGCCCTTCAGTTTTCTTCCTTCCCACAATGGTTTCATCTATTTATGCTATACCATATTTTGTAATGCAGTTCTTTAGACAAACAGCCTAAAAGGATGTCAGAAGGCAGCAGAAAGTTTCATGAGAAATTGGCATAATATGAGGGCACATCACAGATCTCTGTATCATGACAGGTAAAAAGAAAAATAAAAATGTGACGGTAAAGTAGAACATAGAGATATTAATCTTAATTTATTTTCTATTACTTAATATTACTCTCTCAATTAAATATTTTTTAATGTATTTTCTGTCATTTTACTTTGGAGAAAAGATCAAGATATTTTTTATGTTGCTCTTGGTTACTCCCCAATGCCATATATCAGAAAAAATTGCATGTAAATAGCTAGTGATTAAAGTAGCCAGACATTTAAAAGGAAAAGTAATTGGACCCAAAGGAGATAAAACAGAATGTGATCTGGAAGAGTTAGGTTTTCATATGAGCAACATATAACAAGAAATGCCCATATTACCCTCCCAGGTTGTGACATTTATAAGTAATTGCACAAAATGCTGAAATATCCATGGGTATCTAGAAGCATTTTAAGACACTGCTATGTATTTAAATAAAAAGTTTGGGAGATTGGGCAAAACACAGCTGGTGCTTATATTTCCTTTAAAAAATATCTTGCTGATGATAGGAGCCTCTAGGGAGAGCTTAGGGAAAGCCTCTTTGCCTGAGTCTTTTTGAGGTCCATAGGAAAGGGATTTCATCGGAAATGGGACAGAATCAATCTCTCTTCTTTTTGCTTCAGCCTCTCCAAGAGGAAAGGAACTTTTGGGTGTTGCATAGAGGAGCAACATACATTGCTCTAATTTGCTATCAATACCTTGAAAATATTATATTCCTTAAATAAAGGAAATTAAACATACTAGCAAATGCTTTTATCTCATATTTACTGTTTTAAACTCGAGGTCTTTTTTTCCCCTCCTACATTTGCTACCTATTACTATCTTATTGCTTTCTGTCAGCAGTATATTAAAAAATATGAAATACATCTGTCACTTGTGACTAAAAATCTGGTTCAGCATATTCACTGTACTATCAAGTACACCACAGACAAGTTCATACATCATTTATTCTTGGTAGCATGACAGCAGCCCAGCCAATGCACTGGACAAGGAGCTACAGCTTAGCCCTGCACTTGTCTATTCCTGCCCAAGTCCCAGAGCTTGTATTCAGGTAGAGTAATAACTTGGGAATGAAACAAGGCCAGGACTTTAACTTAAATGTGGTAGAGCTTTTTACATCTCTGCAGCAACTCCCGCTCTTGGAATAGTTCAAAAATGCCTGACTGCTTCTGCAATTTAAAGATCTTTCATTTTTAGGTCAGGCTGCCTCACAAGCTACAGACACACAGTAAGCAATTCAGGTTAGGAGACACATGCTGTAACTTCTATATAAACAGAGAAGTTTAAAAGGCAAGAAATTCTTCTTTACAGATTTTATTTTTAAACCTCCTGTTGTGATATATAATCCTTATGCTTTACTAAGAAGCTTCTGGAGTATGGCAATACAGATGCAAAAACAGACTTCTGTCACATACCTAACATAAGAGATTTTCAGAATTAAATATCGTAACTCCACATGTGAAATGGTAGAACATCATAGTAAATATCTATATCTAACAAATAGCTAACTCTGGAATTAATTTGTAGTACTTTAAGGGGAGTTCTGCCCACATCCAGATTTGGAAAATATTTTGCAAAATTAATACTCACCTCTAAAAAAATTAAAATCATAAATATGATTTTGCTATTGATTATTCATTGCTTCAGAAAAACAACATTCTCTGGACAGTCAGTATCAACTTGTGGCAATGCTATATGCAGCACAATGTATTTTTGCTTTTTTTGTTTAAAGGTTAGGTATTGCTTTTTGCTTGGGGGGATTGCTGACAAAGCATTTGGCAGTAGGCACAACACATCTACAGTAAGTAGATCAGAGTATTTTAACTGCAAACATGCTGCAATAAAGTGCCATCATTCAATCAATACAGAACTACTTAGTTAACATTTTTGTTAATGTATCTAGATTACTAGTTCTTTAGATCGTTACCTGATAAATAGCGTGGGTAATGAATTGAGAGAGTAACTACATACCTTCAGGAAGAACCTGCCCGATAAAATAATCCATTAGAAAAACTGGCAGTATCCTCTGATCTATTGCCCGCAAAGCTATGACTTGATGGAGAGTTTCATTCCCTCTGCTCAGCACTCCAGAAGAAAATCAGCACAATTTAAATATTTCTCAGGATGTGACAGCTCTCTAGATCGCTGGCTGCATTCTGTTCCCAGGGGTTGACAATCTGGTGTTCCAGTGTGCATAGAGCAGTGAAGATGAATTGAAAAAGCTTGAGATAAATTAGGGATGGCTAAGTTAAAATTGTCTCTGCTCCCGAGTCTCTCATCTGCAGTCTGCAAGCCTATTTTGCTGTGAAAAAGCTAGATGGCAGGCTGCCTCAGTGAGTTCTTCTTAAGCGACAGGGAGCATTTTCAATGAAGAAAAATTCTCCCATTATCTAAGCTAATGTGACTGCAGCTAAATCTAGTCTTAAAAGTGTCTACTAGCATGAAATTCATTCTCACTGTTGCTTTCCTTCAAGCCACAGGTTAAAAAAGAGAAAGGGAGGAAAAAAAAAAAAAGAAAGAAAAAAAACAACAAAGCAGCATCCTAGATTTTTCTATCTGAAAGAAATACTCAAACTTTTTAAAGCTGATAAATGGCAGCATATTTCACAATGTAACTATGCCAACAATCTAAGTATTGGAAATTATCACTCTTTCCCAAATTTTATCTGCTTATATTCAGTTAATTTTTCCACCACCCGTTCTTTCTTGTTTGTTTTTAATAGTTATTATGTCTTTTTAATTAGTTTCATTTTCAATATTCCAGGAAAGAAAGTGGCAGTATTTTCCCCCTGTTGACAAAAAAATAAAGTGATGGCTAAAATTCTGAACAATTAATGTGTTAAACCTTAGTAGATAATAATAAAAAAAAAATGATCGGTGTTTTGCAATGCCACTAAAAAATATTGTGTAACAAGTTGTTCTTTAATTATGAACCATTTCTCTCATTGCACTAGTTTACAAAAAGGTACAATTGAACTTTCTGATTATCACTTAAATGCCAAAGCTGTTTGACAATGTCATTAATTTCAAGCTGTTTTGTAAAAAGGTGTTACAGTGAAAACTCTAGAGCAAGAGTTTATCATAAACATATTAAATGAAGCTTAATATTTTATCCTGTCAAACATTGGAGATACTTTAATAAAAAAAGGGTATAGTTTCAAAGAGCCACAATCAGTCATGCTTACAGTAAGCAGGCATTTTTGCAAATCCTTTCTTTAGTTTCAGCTGATCTAGTTTTCTGAAGTCCTAGCTGTCAACCACAAATGACTTTCTCAGGCCTGAATTCTCAATATAATGGAAATTCTGCTGTAATCCATTTATGAAAACATGTTTCAATACATCAAAAGACACCAGCAGTATCATGGGCAGAGGATAAGAAAGGTGGTCATGGAGTGGTACACATGTAACTTTGCGGCGTGTTACCTACCTGGGTAACAGAAGTTGTAATTCCTTTGACCTGGGTAACTTAGAACTCTGGGAAAGCTAATTTCTAGAAACCAAAGTTATACGCTGGACCTGTTTAATTTTTAAACTTAAATAGCAGTGCGAGTCCACTACAAGGCAGATTTCTAAAGAATATTAAACCCTCCCTTTATAATAGGATACACTAAAAAATTATATTTGACTAAATCTTCAGAACTACTTCTTTCCTCCAACTGATAAATCTCATTAAGTAAAAGAACTAAATTTAGATAAATGTTTGTCTTTCCTATTTCTCTGTCATTCTTCACAGGAGACAAAATACTCGTTAATAAATTCTCCTATCTTTACCCTGCCTGTCTTGCATTAGATTTTAGTAGCAGAGAAAAACTTCTAATGGGGAACTCCAGTGGGATTAGAGATAGGCAATTCAAAGATAAAAACTTCAGTGACAGAAAGTTAGATTTTTTTGCTACCGTACATTTTACTTTGCATATATATATAATAACTTTGAAAAATCCACAATATGTATGCATATAAACGCTTAGTAAACTTTTTGAAGTCTCTTTTTCATTATTGTGGAATGAACTCTTGCATAATTTTAGCTGCTTCACACATTTCTTCACTGTTTTTTCTTGAAATACATGTGACACTCTGTTGTTACTGCTCATGTTTGTAGGATATAGTTTGTTGCAAGTTTTCTTCTCTTAGATGCATAAAGGGTTAGTTCCGGGTGAAAATAAAACATTTAAATAAAAATATTTTGCTAATCTTAAGAATTACTAGTAGAAAGTGTTGTCTTCCATTATGAGTGCACCTTAATGTACTTCTGCCAATGGTTTTCATTTGCTAACCACTTGTAGCATGGAAAATGACATCCAGTATAGAAGTATGTAAACCTGAAGAGGAAATTGAGACCTAGGTCTGCTATTTGGGTTTGACTCGACAACTTCAGTGAGAGAATCTACTCAAGTCTCTCTTCAAACTTCAGTCTAACGTTATGTAGTTCCCAGAGGAAAGCAAATAAGATTTAGTGAGGAGAAGGCTGGAAATATATGGCCTGAATACGCTGATGTTCATTATCCTTTTTGATTACTGTAAACTTCCTATTTTCTAGATTACTTCACTACATCTTTTAGAAAGACAATAGAAAGAAAATTATGTTGAAACGCATGATATTAAACAGTAAGGGTTTGGGGTTTTTTTGCCCTCCCCAAAATAAGCAGGTAGATGGATTTTCCTGCTCTCTTTCCTTACAACATTTGTACACTAGCAGAAGACAATAGAACAATTATATTCTGAAGATGACTTAAGTATTTGGCTGTCCACAGATAAGTAAAAGATGTGAGAAAAATATCAATATAATCCAAGAATTCTTACTTTCAAGTTATGAATGAAGGATGTATTTCCCCTAATTGTGCCTTATACAGAGTTATCAGTTGTTGTCTGACAACAGGTGACACAATTTCTTAGCTTCCAAATTAGTCTCAGAGTTTGTCACATGATGCCCATTAAAGGCCACATGCACGGACTAAATACTTTTTGAACAAGTTTATAAGTGGAAGAACACACACAAGCACTCTTATACTATAAGAGAAGTTGACTATACCTATAATTACAAAGATGTGAAGACTGAAAAGATAACATCTGTAAAATGTAACATTTCATGAGGTATCCTGACATCACACACTGTGTACTCCTAGGGTGAAGTTTTTTTGTGTGTTTTATTTTGTTTGAACCAAAGGGAAACCAGATTATGCTCTCTGACACCACTCCATGAACATAGAAACTGGGAACATATAAGATTCATGCACCAAAATACTAATGTATATGCCCTTGTACTAAACTGACAGAGACAAAGATGAGAACTGAAAGAGGATCCATTGCAATTAAAATAGTTAAAAACCTATAACAAACAAACAAACAAACCCCAACAAACCACCAAAGAGGTGCTCCCCTCCTTCACTCAACTCTTGAATTACTGCCAGTTTTCAGGGGGGGTTTAAGATTTCTTGCTACTCAGAGCTTTGACGTCAATCATTTAATTTAAAAACATTATTGTTATATGGAAAGATCTAGCAATTATTCTATACTTCAATTTCTGTTTGGCTTTTGGGGTTTTCTTTTGGCTTTTTCTTTCTTTTTATTTTCCCTTCTGTTTCTTCAGTTAATTCCATTTTAACACTCAAAGATCACACATAAAAAAATAATTAAAAGAATCCAACAAATACATCATTAATACATTTTAGACATTGGTGTTAAAAGGTACCACAGCAAAATCACAACTTTATTTTGCTTTAAAAGCTATTAGATACCCATATTACAAAATATAAGAATCTTACTGATTAAGGTATCTGGTTTCAGTTTAATTATAGGTGTCTTATATTATTCAACAGGAAATCTCCCAACAATTTTCATATGATACACAAAGCATTTCTTGTTCTGTTTTCCATTGTTCTCTCTTCTCCACTGGCTAGACTGTAAGGAGACCTATGCGCTCCTAAAATTCCAGCAATCGATGAAAGATTCTTCGAATTTCCTGCTTTCAATATTTTAGCTACAAATTTGTTTCCTTCAGCTCCCATTTCCATTATAAGTGAATAGGGTCTTGCTTTGAATTCATACATCAACTTTCATCTCTAAAACTCAAGGCAAGTTTAATGTGTCTCTCTTGAAACCCATAGAACTTGTGTTAACACAGTCTAAAATCTCAGCAGTTGTATGTGAACTGACAGTAACAGATTAAGGTAGTAGAGGAAAATAAAGCAAAACAAAACCCTTGTTACATAATTCCAGACAAATGGAGCAGGGCATTTAGACACTACTATAATACAAATAAATAGTTAACTGGAGAAATAATGTCTTTAAAAAATAAGGAAGGATAAAAATGTAATACAAACACCACGCATCCTCTGGGTGTATACTGTAGAATTCAGAGCACATTCAAGCATGTCCAAACTTTTTAGCTTCTTTAGAAAGTTTTTTCTTAGCCCTGGGGTATTGTTGAGTGATTTTGCAGTGATAAAATCTGATAAACGTGCCCTGAACATCCTGGTGTCCTGGGAGGCATCAGGCAAAGCATTGCCATCTGGTCAAGGGAGGGGATTGTCCCGCTCTGGTCTACACTGGTACAGCCTCACCTTGAATATTGTGTGCAGTTTTAGGTGCCACAATACAACAAAGATATTAAGGTATTAGAGAGAGTCCAAAGGAGGGCAGCGAAGATGATGAAGGGCCTTGAGGGGAAGCCGTATGAGGAGTGGCTGGGGTCAATTGGTTTGTTCAGCCTGCAGAAGAGGAGACTGAGGGGAGACCTCATTGCAGCCTACAACTTCCTTGTGAGGGGAAGAGAAGGAGCAGACGCTGATCTGTTCTCTGTGGTGACCAGTGACAGGACCTGAGGGAATGGTCTGAAGTTGTGTCAGGGGAGATTCAGGTTGGATATTAAGAAAAAGTTCTTTACCCAGAGAGTGGTTGGGCACTGGAACAGCACACCAGGGAAGTGGTCACAGCACTAAGACCGACACAGTTCAAGAAGCATTTGAACAACACTCTCAGTCACATGGTGTGACTCTTGAGGATGGTCCTGTGCAGGATCAGGAGTTGGACTCGATGATCCTTCCAACTGAGTCCCTTCCAATTCAGCATATTTTGGGATTCTGTGATTTACAATAAATAAATAAATAAATAATGATAATATGGAAGAAAAATATTATAGGCTGCTATTTGTTCTACTGAAATGGAATAATCATCTTTAATCTTAAGATTACCTTACAAATAAGATATTTGGGCTAGAAAATGCTCATTTTATCTTGTTTTATCACTTAATATTTTACAAGCAGTTTATTTAATGAAAATGTAGAGAAAACAACAGGACTCACATTTTGTTTCCAGTTCTCTCATCAAAACA